ATACATAACTACTAAGAGATAGCAGTGGCCAGGATTGTGCTTGGGGTGGGAGCAGGAGGGAGGATGCAAAGAAAGTCAGAGTTGGAAGAATGCAGAAACACAAACAGAAATTGCTGGAAAAGCTCAGCAGGTCTGGCAGCATCTGAAGGTCTGGCAGCATCAGACTCAGAACTCTAAAGAAGTATCACTTGATACGAAATGTTAGTTCTGATTTCTCTCCACAGATGCTGACAGACCTGCTGATCTTTTCCAGCAATTTCTGTTTTTGTTTCTAATTGCTAGCATCTGCAGTTCTTTGGGTTTTTATTTGAAAGAGAAAGTGCTCACTGAGAATTGTATGTTTGAAATTGGTTGCAGAAATAGGAAGAAGCAGTTGTCAAGGGACAGTGCCAGGTTAGAAATTTGAGCATAGGAATAAGAGATTTAAAATAGAGGCATTGGTTAACTGGGGTGTAATGTAGACCAGTGACCATGGGTGTGGGGGAGGGAGTGCTGGCTGAATAGAACTTGGTACAAGTTAGAATTTGGGCTGCAAAACTTTACAAGAGCTTATGTTAATGGAAGTGGGTGATGGGAGGCAGGTCAGGAAAGAATTGGAACAATCAAGTTATTGGAAAGAACAGACAAGTTAACATTTCAGGTCTCGGCCCTTTGTCAGAACTACTTAAATATAGATGTCTAATTTGATTTCCATCATCTGATCATATTTCATGTCATGACTAATGTTCTTCAATTTCTGTGCACTTCTGGCATGCAACAAGGCAACATTAGCATCAAGATCTGCATCATCTTCAAATTGCCAACAGGTTAATGATCCACCCACTGTGACATTTAAACATGTGCTGCGTTGCATTCTTTAATAACATTTTGAATAATTATGGTGAAGCTTTTCACTATATTTATAAATGACATAGATGAAGGAATAGGGAACCATATACTTAAGTTTACTGATGAAAACAAGTAAAGCAACATAGTAACTAATGTAGATGGGAGCAGAAAGTTGCAAAGAGACATTGAGAGATTATGAATGCAGGGCAGAACCTGAGTGAGCGTGGCAGTTGGAGATCAGTGCAGCAAAGTTTCAGGTCATTTTGGACCTAAGCAAGACAGATCACAGCATTTTCTACTTGGTAACAAGCGAGGAACTGTGGAGGAGCAGGAAGAGGCAAGGTTGCTAATCACTGAAAGTTAGTAGACAGACGCAAAAATATAATTCAAAAGGCCAGTGGAAAGTTGACCTTTATTTCAAAGGGGCTGGAAATTAAGGAGATGTTAGCGATGCTACAATTATATAAAGCTCTATTTATACCTCACTAGATTTAGTTCTCTTCACTGCATCTCAAGAAGGATGTATTAGCCTTTGAGAGAGTGCAGCACACATCCAGCAAAATGATACTAGGTCTAAAAGTTTAAAGTATGAGGATGAGTTATATAAATTAGGCTTGTGTTCCCTTGAGTACAGAGTATTAAGAACTGATTTAAGGTGTTTAATATTATTGAGCAATTTCATAAGGAAAATATGGTGAAACCATTTCCTCTAGTAGTAAGTGCTTTACAATACATGAAATATACTGAACAAACAGGATTTTTCAGCTAAGTAATGGGAAAAATGAGCCATTGTCTTCAGCTGCTGTCAGAAAATACATCGTCAGAAATCACATGACACCAGGTTATAGTCCAACAGGTTTGTTTGAAAACTATAACCTGATTTCTGACCTTGTCCACCCCAGTCCAACACCGGCACCTCCACATCAAAAAATGCATTTGCTAGCTTCTGATTCCATCGCTCTGCTCAGTGCTGAGCCAGACTGTTTGCAATCTTAGTGTCATACTAAATGCTGGAATGAGCTTCCAAAATCATATCCACATCATCAGTGGGTCTACCTGTTTCCAATTTCATAACTCTGCACAAATCTAACTTTTTCCCTGTCTCAAGACATCTGTTGAGACCCTCACCCATGCCTTTATTGCCTCTAGGCTTGACAATTTCAACACAATCATGTTCAACACCTTCTTTCCTCCATAAATTTGAGATGATCCAATATGCATTCCCGCACCGGCTGAAGTTACATGAAAATCTCGCTTCCTCACCCTTGCTCCTCAGGCATGGTGGTCCTCAGGTTAAACTCACCACCAGTCATCTTTCCCTAATGAGTGAGCAGCCCCATGGTCCTCTGGAGCTATGGTAACTTTACCTAATGCCCTTATTCTAACTTGTCCATGTTCCAATCATTCATTACCTCTATGCTTGCTGATGTACATCAGCTTCCAATTGAGCAATATCTTGATGATAAAATTCTCATCCTTGCTTTTAGATCCTGCTGTGATCTTGGCTTGACTATTCAGTAACTTTTCCCAGCTCTATGACCCTCCAAAGTATCAGTACCTTTCAAATTCTAGTCACTTTCTCATCCCCAGTTTCAATCACTCCACCACAAAAATAGTGCCTTCTGCTGCTCAGACTCCAAGGTCTGGAATTCCCTGGCTTACTTTCACTGCCTCTCTCTCTCCCTCTCGTGATCCTGCTTATTTTACTGTTTAATTCTTTGACCAAGTTTTTTTTAGTCATCAGGCCTCGTATGACCTAAATGGCTCAATGTCAAATTTCAATAACAGCGATGTGAATCATTTTGGCATATGTTATTACATTGAAGATGATATATAAATGCAAGTTCTTGCCAATTTTGATATTCACACAAGGGTAGTGGAGATCTGGAACATTGTGCCTTTCAAAGCAGCAGCAAGGCTCAGTGGTCAGCAATGCTGTCACAGAGCACCAGGGACCCGAGTTCAATTCCAGCTCAAGCGACTGTCTGGGTGGAGTTTGTAGGTTCGCCCCGTGTCTGCATGGTTCAGACTGGGTGCTTCTGTTTCCTTCCACAGTCCTAATATGTGTAGGTTAGGTAGGGTTAAAACTCACTCAGAGATGGTAGGAACTGCCAGTGCTGGAGTCTGAGATAGCAAGGTATGGAGCTGGATGAACACAGCAGGCCAGGCAGCATCAGAGGAGCAGGAAAGTTGACATTTCGGGTCTGGGCCCTTCTTCAGATTTCTGGGCTGAATGGCCTGATTCCCACATTGTAGGGATTCTATGAAAGCTATGGCTTGATTTGATTTACTATTGTTACATGTACTTAGAGACAGTGAAAAGTTTTGATTTGTGTGCAGTACAGGTAGATCATACCATACAAACTGCATTAGGATAATAGAACAGAGCAAGGAATACAATGTTACGGCTACAGAGGAGGTGCACAGAGAGTAAGATAAACATTAAATTTAAAATTTGAGAGGTCCATTTGGAAGTTTAGTAAGGGCGGGGATTGAGATTTTCTTGAATCTATTGTGCGTGTATACAAACTTTTATATCTTCTGCCCAATGGAAGAGGGTGGAAGAGAGTATAACCAGGGTGGGAGAGATCTTTGATTATATTGGTTGCTTTCCCAAGGCAATGGGAAGTGCTAAATGGGGTCAGTGGATGGAAGGCTGGTTTGTGTGATGGACTGGACTGTGTTCACGACTCTGTAATTTCTTACGGTCTTGGGAAGAGCAGTTGCCAGACCACACTGTAATGCATCCAGATGGAATGCTTTCTGTGGTACATCTGCAAAAATTGGTAATAGTCTGTGTGGACATGCTGAATTTCCTTAGCCTCCTGATGATGTAGAGATCTTGATTTGCTGTCTTGACTGTTGCGTTGACATGGGTGTACCAGGACAGATTATTGGTGATCATCACTCCTTAGTAAGTAGGATATTTCCAAACTGCCAGTCTGGAAGCATCTGTGGAGGAGAAAATAGAGTTAACACTTTGGGTCCGGTGACCCTTCCTCAGAACTGATGGTGGCTGGGAAAACGTCAGTTTATATACTATAAATTTATATACCCGAAACGTTAACTCTGTTTTCTCCTTCACAGATGCTGTCAGGCCAGCTGAGCTTTTCCAGCAACTTTTGTTTTTGTTCCTGATTTATAGCATCCGCAGTTCTTTTGGTTTTTGTTTCCAAACTGCAACTGATTGATTTTGTGAGCCTGGCGTATTAGGGTCTACAAACCTGAGTTTGGTAAATGGAGTTAAGGTATAGATCAGCCATGCTTTGATTGAATGCTGCTAGGTTACCAACACCTGGACTGGCGCCCAGCCCGGCTACACTACCCGCGCTGACACCCTACACTACCCGCGCTGACACCCTACACTACCCATGCTGATACCCTACACTACCCATACTGACACCCTACACTACCCGCACTGACACCCTACACTATGCGCACTGACACCCTACACTATCCGCACTGACACCCTACACTACCCATACTGACACCCTACACTACCCGCGCTGACACCCTACACTATCCGCACTGACACCCTACACTACCCGCACTGACACCCTACACTACCCACACTGACACCCTACACTGATACCCTACACTGACACCCTACACTGATACCCTACACTACCCGCACTGACACCCTACACTACCCACACTGACACCCTACACTACCCGCGCTGACACCCTACACTACCCGCGCTGACACCCTACACTGCCAGCGCTGATACCCTACACTACCCGCACTGACACCCTACACTACCCGCACTGACACCCTACACTATCCGCACTGACACCCTACACTACCCGCACTGACACCCTACACTACCCACACTGACACCCTACAGCACTCAAGTAGACACCCTGCACTACCCGAGCTGGCATCCTAACTCCTATCTGTCTGCCTCATTACCCTCTCAGGACATGAGCATCACACTTACCTATGTCCTTACGTGGTTGTCAGGATCGTTAAATTTCAGAATGCAATAGCTGACTGCTATGACTGTCGGCTCAAGGAAGTGAATGCCTGACCCTCCCGTCCCTGTAAAGATTAGAAGCTTTGATGATTTTTATTTATTCCTCTTTCAGTCACTGAGTTTGAATAATATTTTCTCCATCAGGATTAGAGCGACCATTGACTATGTTAGCACACTTAGTGTACTTCTGTATTTCAGGGCAATGGAGAGATCGTACAGGGAGCACAGTTTATTCTCCCCGTGTAACACTAACTGCATGTGCTCAAGCTCACAGTGGGAACCTGTCTGTGCTGGAAATGCATTAACTTACATTTCTCCTTGCCTTGCTGGTTGCAAATCATCGCGTGGGACTGGGCTAAAGATGGTAAGAAATTCATTTATCCACCTGATAAGATAAAACATAGGTTCATCCCAAGCACTGATTAGTTTTCATAATGTTTGAGACTGGACCCAATATGGTCAATATGGAAATGCTTAGATGTAATTTTCAAGAATAAAGTGATACATAATCATTTCAAGTCTTCAATTTTGATATATTAAGGAAAAGTAAAGATAGATGAATATCTTATACCAAAAATACAGTGAACTGGCCACTGGATCACAGTGTTCACAGTTTCTACATCTCCACGACAAGGATACATACAAGTGAGATACACAATGATGGCCACTGACAGTGATGATTTGGACACTGTTGCTGTTGGCTGTGACCTCAGGAGGATAACTATGTGGGAAGGCATTGGTAGAAGAGAACAGAAATGCAAAGATCAATTGGCTATGAAGAGAACTGAGAGAAAACAGATGGCAGGGAGTCATGCAGTGCCCCGGTCCACTGTCCTCCTCTCTGCAGTAAATGCAGCCGAGATCATTATTCCAGGGTGGGGTTCATGAGCCATGTAGGGCCATGCTCAGTACAAAGTTGACAACTTATAAGGCTTCTATAAGTTGACTTCTATAAGATAGAAGGCTGTCACCGCAGCATCAACATTTGAAAAAGGTAAAACCAAATGTGCTTGTTGATCAAAGCACATCCCCAGCTTTAGTAAGATAGACTGTTTACTAAGATAAACACTGAGGAGTGATCTTCTATTTAATCCATGCAGGAGGCTTTCTGAATTGAAAAATAGTAAGGAGGAGATCCAATAGTTTATTTCTCTGCGATGGTATATGCCAGCCAGCAGTTGCAGAAAAAAATACATCAATTAATTACAGGTCGAAAGTTAAACTGATTTACAGACGCCAATTCATGTTCTGATAAACTTTCTGAAAGTTGCCAACTTTGGATCAGGAAAGACTCCTACTCAAAGGCAGTACTATCAGTTATAGCAATTAACTTAAGCCATAAAGTAAATAGACTGTTAAGAAATCTTGATCAAGAAGTGTTGCGAATCCAAATATCAAAATGGAGCCATAATCCTTACTGCTAGTCTGCACTTTTCTCCCAGACACCTCATGACTGTGAGCTTTTTCTACACAGGAATTCTACAACTGCAGTTGTATTTCCCGTTTGACAACTACCAATTCTTCTGTGGTTCTGGGACAGTGCCCAAAAACTGAAGATTGCAACAAAGTCTTTCCCTATTACTTGGCGGTATCCTTTCTCGAATCTTTCACCCTTTCTTTTGGAGGCATGGCCGAGTTTGAGATACTAATGAGGTAAAAATTTTCTTGCATAAGTGATTGGAGTTTGAATTGTGCAACAAATAGACTCATGAAGAACCATGATGTTGTAATATGCTTTATAGCTATTAAAATGCTTTTGAAGTCGCTGTTGTCATTGGAAGGAACACAGGAACCAAACTATACACAGCAAGACCCCACAAACATCAATGAGACAATGTCCAAATATTCTGATTTTCGATGATATGAACAAAACATAGTCAAAGAAACAAAAACATTCTAGAGTGCGGCACTCCTTTGGTAATACATTGGAGTTTCTCTTGAAGGTGAGAAACTGAAAACTGAGACTTCACCTTTTATTAAAATGCAAAACAGATGCAATATAGGCTTCAGCTGTTCCTTCCTTCCATCCATCAGGAAAATAAAATTCACCTACTCCGAAAACTGCTAGTTGTATTGGAACTGAATTAATTGATCCAATCTCGTGAGAGCTCACAATGTAGCTCAGCCACAACATCAACTAATCTAAACTTTTGTCTTAAAATGGACTGAATCTGGAAACAAACACATACAATGCACAGAGGCAACAAGGTGTAGAGCTGGATGAACACAGCACGCCAAGCAGCATCAGAGGAGCAGGAAAGCTGACGTTTTGGGTCTAGACCCTTCTTCAGAATAAGGGCCTAGACCCGAAATGTCAGCTTTCCTGCTCCCCTGCTGCTGCTTGGCCTGCTGTGTTCATCCAGCTCTACACCTTGTTGTCTCAGATTCTCCAGCATCGGCAGTTCCCACTATCTCCACATACAATGCACATATGCCTTGTGGATAGATAAGGGTTGCAATTGCACTTGGAAATGTAAAGAAAAATGTTAAGGAACGATTTCTGGACCCTCCTACAAACCTGCAGTTGACACTGTTGGATTTAGAAGTGTAAAGGTTCCTGATAGTTGATACCTATGTGCTTAAAGCAGTCCCTCTAGCTTGGCTCACTAACTGCTGGAGATGGTGTAATTTTGGCTGACTCCCTGAGGAGTTCTGCAATACAGGTCCTTAGGGAAATCTTGACTGTTTTGATAGTGTGTTAGCTCCAATGCATATGTGAAATTCTGGGCCACTTGTGTCTTAATGTGGAGAGATGGTACCTTTGAGGCACAGAGCTTTCCAAAATTGTTTTACAGATAAGAAAATGAAAAACAGAAGCAAGTCAGGACATCAGTAGTCGGGGTGGGGGAGGGATGGCTTGATTGAAGAGATTGAAGATTTTAAGAGGTTTGCATTATTCAGTATAATTATCGTGCTGTCATAATGATGACCATCATAGCATTCAAAAAGTATTCAGCTGCAAGATGGATCCTTGTGCAAATGAAGAAATTATATTTTGTTCATTTAAGTTGTTATTGTAGTAATTCTATCATTTATAGGAGGCAACAAAGTCTAAATAAAGCTGATTTAATTACATGTTGGATCATCCATGATATAATTGTAATTATATTAATTGAATGATTAACGATTCTGCACTTACCTGAGTTAGACACTCAAAATGATCAAGCATTATACAGCATAAATACTAATTTAGAAAATTTCTCCACTGTAATTATGGTAATTGAGTGGTGTGGCATAATTTAAGAACTTTGAAGTGTGGTATTTACAGGTTCCTGACTTTGGCTTTTTTTTCATTCATTCATGGGATGTAGGCATTGTCGACTTGGCTAGTATTTATTGTCCATCCCTAATTGTGTTTGGGTTAATGAGTAATTATACATGAGAATTCAAATCTGAAGATCAGATACATTAACATATTAAATGTGTGTGTGTGTTTGTGTGTCTGTGCGTCTACATGTGTGTTTGTGTGTGTGTGTGTGTGTGTGTGGCTGCATCTGTGTATGTGAGTCTGAGTCTGTGTGTGTGTGTGTGTGCATGCATATGTATATTTGTTTCTGTGTGTGCACATGTGTGTGTCTGTGTGTGACTGTGTGTATATCTGAGAGTGTGTGAGAGTGTGTGTGTGAGAGAGTCTGTGTGTGTATTTGTAACTGTGTGTGAGTGTGTGTGTGTGTGTGAGACAGTATATCTGTGTGGGTATCTCTGTGTGTGTGTCAGTGTGTGTGTGTGTGTGTGTCTGTGTGTGTGTGTGTGTGTGTGTGTGTGTATGTGTGTGCATGCCTGTCTATGTGTATGTGTGAGAATGTGTGTGTCTATCTGTCTGTCTGTGTGTGAATATGTGTGTGGGTGTGGGTGTGAGAGAGTGTGTGTGCGTGTCTGTCTATGTGTGTGTGAGAATGTGTGTGAATGTGTCTGTATGTGTGTGAGAGAGCGTGTGTGCGTGTGTGTGTGTGCGTGCGCGTGTGCGTGCGTGTTTGTGAGTGTGTGTGTGGACTGCTGAGTAATGGATCCAGGGCGAAAAATACTATACGTTCTACTTTTGACAGTAATTCTCTCAAATAGCTTTTAAAAACTATGGACTTAAATTCAACAGCAAAGTGTGCACATTTGTGAAGTGATAGATGTGTAAATGATCTTACAGTCTTAACTTGTTCTCTGTCTGTTTTCCAGAATTCTGTTCAAAAGATACAGTTTTCCTCAATTAAGCATTGATAAGGAAAGCTGTTTTTATCAGAACACCCCAAACCCTGTTGAAATGAAAACAGATACTGTGTAATATTAAAAATAAGCTTGCAATTCCATATCATGTTAGAAAGTGCATTTCACTTTATAGTCACTGAAGTGCTTTCAGTGAGTGACACTTTTATAATATAGTAAATGCAGCAGCCAATTTGGACACAATGCAGTTCCTTAATGATAAACATTAATTGGTCATTTGTCAGTGCTTTAAGGGATAAATATTGTCCAGCCACCCTGGAGAGTCCCCCTACTCTTCTTCAAATATTTTTCAAATAATATCAACATCATTTACATCCTTATGCGAGCTCAGGAGCAGCACTGATTTTGCATGTCAATCAAAGGACAGCACAACTGATAACATAGAGCTCCCTCAGTATTGCACTGGGGTGCCAGCCTAGATTTTGCATTTGCAACCTTCAGACTCAGAGGTAGAAACTCAGAGCTAGTGTGTTTTATTGCTAATTAGAAATTAACACACGCCCCAAAATATTTAGCAATCTTGTAAGCTAATGGAATGATTTGTCACAAAAAAAGGTGTGAAAACACCATTCTTGAGCCCTGGGATAAAATGTTGTTTAGTTGTTACCAAAGCCGTTGGTTCAGTGAGTTGCTTTTGCATTGAGGAGGAACTAAAAGCATAATAGTTTCAACCCTTGATAGCAACATTTTTCAGTAATGAGAAGCCACGGTTACATAGAAACCGGCCACTCAGCCCAAATTGTTTATGCCTGCGTCATGCTCCATACAAGCCTTCTCCCTATGTTACTTCATCTACCCTATCCAAACTGAATAACATTTCTGGAGAGTTTAGGCAGTGTTTCATTGTCTGTATGCCAATTTAAATTGGTCTGTTACTTCCACCAGGACCATTGATACAGAGCTGAAACCGCTGGCAATAGGCATTTACTGCTTGATTATAAGAATGTTTGGTGAGTTTTGTCAGTTTAACTGCATTTTGAATTGTTATTTTTTGCAGCAACTTAGCCCCGGTTGTAATCTAATCCATCCAGCAAGGACATCATTATATTGTACCTGATTTGTACAATTTTATACTCTATTGAAGTCAATCATTTACTAAATCTCTGCAATTTCATCTGACTTCACTCCATCTCAGTTGCTGAAACCCTCATTCATGCCATGATATTGCTGGACTATTCTAACGCCCTTCACAGTGGTCTCACTCATTCTGACCTCTGTAAGCTTGAGGTCATCCATTTATTAAACTCAGCTAAGTATTCGTCATTTATCAGAATACTGCACTTGCTGACCCATGCTGATCCCATTCAAGCAAGATCTGTTCTTAAAATTTTCATCCCAGTTTTCAAACTTAACTCTTTACAACATTGCTGCAATACCTCTAACCACCACAATCCTGAGAGATATCTATGCTCCCTCAATTCTGAACAGCCCCAGTTTTAATTGCTTTGTCTCTGGTGGTGGCACCTTCAATGGATACTCCTTATGCTCTGAAATATCTTTCCAACACCTTTTCTGCTTCTCTACATCATATGCCTCTTTTAAGACATGACATAAAACCTACCTCTTCAAGCTTTTGGTCATCTGACCTAATATCTCCTCACGTGGTTTGGTGTGATACTTTGATTTATAATAGATCTGTGAAGTACCTTGAAACATTTTATTACATTAAAGGTGCTAAGTAAATAAATGCTGTAGCTGTGAAAATGGGCATTCGATTAGGACTATTCATACCTAATGGGTTAGGTCAAAGTCAGGGCTTTACAATTTCACACCTAAGTGCAGCAAAAAAACTAAAATAATTTCTGGCATTGTGAAGATTTATGAAGATTTCCACTAGTATTAGGATACAGTTGTTTTTTTTTGTTCCTTGTGCTTTCATGAGAAATAATGAGTAGATGAAATAGTCATCTACATGTGTGATGTTTAGCGATCATAATGAAGGACTCTATGAACTTCAGATGCTTCAGATATCTGATCAGACCATGATGGGGGCATGTGAAATATTCTCAACTCTGGCACACTTGCTATTACGTACACAGAGTAAAGTATTTCCAGAGACAATTTGTGAATTATTGGAGTTCATGATCAGAAAAGAGATAAAGGGGTAACATGAAGTTAAGTTAATTCAGATAATATTTGGCCCCATGATACCTGAGGTGGAAAAACAGCCACATTGGGAACATGGATGATCAACTCATGTGCTTTATGCATTTTATTGTAAGAACAACAAGTTTGCTAGCCTTTACAAAAATACAAACATGGAACAAGAATAGGCCCTTCGAGCCTGCCCCACTATTCACTAAGAACATGGCTGATCAGATTTTAACCTTACTTCTACATTCCTGCATATCCCCTAATAATCCTTTATGCCCTTGATAATCAAGAATCGATCTACCTCTGGCTTCAAAATATTTAAAGATTCTGCCTTTTGAGGAAGGAAATTTCAAGGCTGTCAACCCTCTGAGAGAAAGATGTTTCTTCATCTCTGTCTTAAAATGCCCTCCCTTACTTTTAAACTATGGCCCCAAGTTCTAAATTCTCCTACAAGAGGAAACATCTGAGCATTGTGGATGTTTTAAGTTCTTCTCAAATGTAGCCCATTTACCCATCACCTCATTGCTCACGAAACAGCATTCATTTCCAATAGGGCAACACCTTGATTTAAAATTCTCAATTTAGCTTTCAATGTAATGGCCTCCCCATTTGAGACCTCTGTGAGCTCCTCCAACCCTGCAGTACTCTGAATAAAATAAGCTTCTGCAATTCTGACCTTTTCTTGCATCCTCTATTTCTACTGTGTGACAGTCTTGAGGGCCTGAATAACTTCCTATGTTTCAATACTTCTACTTTCCTTCCTACGCCCACCTCTATCAGCTGTCACTGCGCTGACCTCTGAAATTTTATTTCCAAATCCTACTCCTCATTTAAGAAAATCATTAAACCCTGGGTGGCACGGTTTCCTCCCACAGTCCAAAGATGTGCAGGTTAGGGCGGGTTGGCCATGCTAAATTATCCGTAGTGTCCAGGGATGTGCAGACGTGTGGATTAGCTTTGGGAAATGCAGGATTGCGGGATAGGATAGAGGTGGGATGCAGTTGGGAGAGTTGATGTGGACTTTTTGGGCTGAATGGCCTGCTTCCACATTGTAAGGATTCTATGATTCTAACTGTTTAGCTCTGGATATCCTTCTGAAATGGCTCTGACTTAGAATAAATTATGGTCTGCTAACTCACTGTAACATCATAAGAAATAAGAGTAGGAGTGGGCCACTCGGTTCATCAAATCTGTTTCACCAGTCGATGCTGATCTGATTGTGGCCTTTCCTCAACTTTCTTGCAATTCCCTGTAACACTTAACTCCCCTGTCAATCAAAATCTCTCTACCTTATCCATAAATGTATTCAGTGCCTCCACTGGTTCTCATTTCAGTCTTAAAATGGGAGACTCCTGATTTTGAAACTGAGCCTCCTACTTCTAGATTTGCCAACAAAATGAAACATCTTCCCAGCATTTACCCAGTCAAGCTCCCTCAGGATATCAGCTGGTTAAATGAGTTTTTTTTCTAAATTCCAATGCGTATAGGCCTAGTCCGCTCATGCTTTTTCTCAAGGCAATCTCCTAATCTCAAGGGTCAGCCTAGTCAACCTACACTGAACCATTTCCAATGCAATTATATGCCCGCTAAAGAGATCACATAGTATTATAGGTGTAGTTTCAATAATGTTCTGTAGCAGTAGCAAGACCTCTTGCTTTTATAAAAACCAAAAGAACTGCGGATGCTGTAAATCAGGAACAAAAGCAGAAGTTGCTGGAAAAGCTCAGCAGGCCTGGCAGCATCTTTGAAGACAAAATCAGAGTTAACATTTTGGCTCCGGTGACCCTTCCTCAGAACTTGCTAACTCACCATCATAAGAAATAAGAGCATGAGTGTGTAACTTGGTTCATCAAATCTGTTTCACCAGTTGATGCTGATCTGACTGCAGCCTTTTCTCAGCCTCTGAACATTCTGAGGAAGGACACGAAACGTTAACTCTGACTTTCTCTTCACAGATGCTGCCAGACCTGCTGAGCTTCGCCAGCAACTTCTGTTTTTGTTCTAGCTTTTACATTTGTTTGTTCAATGCCTACCTATCACATTCTGGTTTTCATGACTGGTATGACGGCCCTGCCATAGTACCCTGTCCTTTCTCTTTCACACTTAAAAATCTCTCCTCATGTGAACCCTTCCCCCACTCCCCACACTATTCAGTTTAACTCTCTCCATTGCCCTATATTATACAATTTGTCAATAAATTGAACCCAGCATAGTTCAGGTAACAGCTGCCCCAGTGGGTAGAACTCTCTCCTTTCACTAGACTGATACCAGTGCCTCATGAATCAAAACTCACTTCTCCCACTTCAGTCTTTGAGCCATTCCTTCAACCATCTGATCTGATTTGTTTCACACCAATTTGCTCATGGCTCAGAGATTATTACTTTTGTGTTTTTGCTTTCTAATTAAATCTCCAGTTGCTCACCTCCATCAATAGAGCCTCTTTCTTAGTGCTACTTATGTCACATGCTCACATGGACCATGACAACTGAGGACTTTCCTTTTAAGTTCCTCCCAGCTATGAGGAACTGTCCTTGATCCTGACACAGGGCAGGCAGGCCTTTGGAACTCACATTCTCAGTTGCAGAGAATCCTCTAAATCCCAGAGGACATAACTTTAAGGTGAGGAGTAACTGGTTGAGAAGAGATCAGAGGAATTTTGTTTTCACCCAGAGGGTTGTAGATGTATGGAAGGTGCTGCCTGAGACGTGGTGGAGGCAGGTACTCTTGCAACTTTTAAGATGCATTTGGATGAGCACTTAAAATGCCAGGGCATAGTAAACTATGGACAGGTAAATGGGATTAGTATAGTTTGGGGTTTGTTGGTCGCCATAGATATGGTGAGCAAAAGGACCTGTTTCTACACTACATAATTCTACGACTCTACATGCTGTCCTCTATTGTCCACTTGAATGGCTTCTTGCTCAATGGTATAATAGTCAGTTTGCTCATCCTCCCTGCAGTCCCTGCTCTCGTCCAGACAAGTTGCAAAAGTACTTGAACCTGATGGACAGTTGCAAGGGCTAATGCCCATCCCTATTGCTATCTTCTGGATACCATGCCAGCTTCACTCATAGCCAAACCCTTCTGCCCCTGACCATAAAGAAAATCTGAAATACCTAGCCTAAAGAACGTGACTGCCTCATGAAGCAAAGGTCCAGTCACCTTGTCCCCTCTCTGATGCATTGCAGTGTCTGAAACTCAGACTTCAGCTCATCAATGTTGGACTGAATTTCCTCAAGCTGCAGACACTTGCTGTAAATGTAGCTGGTGTGGATCACTTTGGTGTCCAGCAGCACCCATATGCTACAGCAGCAACACATCACCAACCCTGCACTTGTAATTGTGCTTAATTTGTCCAATTGGATTTCAAGTTTAGAAGTATTACTCAACAGTCATCTCGAAGTTAGAGTAGGTAGTTTAACTAATTAAGCTATAGATATGCTACAATACTTATATCATCCCAAGACCTCTTTAAACTACTGAAAAAAAACAAAAGAACTGCAGATGCTATAAATCAGGAACATAAACAGAAGTTGCTGGAAAAGCTCAGCAGGTCTGGTAGCATCTGTGAAGAAAAAATCAGAGTTAATGTTTTGTGTCACCAGACCCCGAAACGTTAAGTTTGATTTTTTTTTCTTCACTGATGCTGCCAGACCTGCTGAGCTTTTCCAGCAACTTCTGTTTTTGTTCCTCTTTAAACTACTGCCTGCATTTAGAAGGATAAAACCTTAAAAATTCACCAGCCAATCACTAATTGCTCAAATTAAAACCTTGAACGCTCACCAATTTTGGGAGACTGACAAAAAATGCACCAATAGCGACATATCCTTCTCCCTCTTCGTAGAATTCCCACTTGCACCAAAAACTTAAGTCAATTCTGAGACCTCATCACATTCCTCTGATACATTTTACTGATATTAAAGGTGCTGTATAAATGCCAGTTTTTGCTATTGTTCAGAATGTTATTCACAATGTCTTTCCAACATTGTGTCCTTTTCCTTTTGTTCCAGCTGGAATTCCTGCTCCTATTTACTTTGGAGCTTTGATAGACACAACGTGTCTGAAATGGGGAACCAACAGTTGTGGGAGGCGAGGGGCTTGCAGGATGTATGACACAGATGCTTTCAGGTTTGTTGCTACTTCCGGATTGCCTGTTGTACTGAAAATAATGGCAGCAATGCAGCTAATTGGTACACTGTTCTCTGAGTTACCAGTGCAGCCACAGTCCATTGAAACTAAACCTCACAAGAATTTCGTGTCAGTGTCGCAATATGATGAAGCTTCGACAATGGCCCCGATCACTGTGGTAGCTTTCTTCGCTCCGAAAGCAGCTGTTGAGTTCATCTGACCATTCATGTACTCCAGGTGAAATTAGGTGCAGAGCTGAAAGATGCTCAGTCCCAATTCATTCTGGGAGCTCTTCCTGAGTCTGGTAGGCGACTCAAGAAACAGCATGTGTGGCGCAATTTTGAAGAGCTTGGCGCATTTTACACCGGGAATTCTCACTCCCTCAGTTTCTGCAGGATCCAGCATGAAACTGGAGATGGCCAGCAGATGAAGCAAGCTGATTACAGGGCAGTGCAGGTAGAGTTGACTAGTGTGAGTGGTTCTATGTCAGCACCCCCAAACCCCCACTCCTTTCTGAAGGAAACGGTTACTATCAAGATAGAATTCATTTCTGTGAATGGAGAGGTGTGTTTCAGTGGGACGAGTGGGCATTGGGTAGGAGTGGGGAGGGTGGACATCCAACCCTTGAATATTAGAATTCCACTGCAAGGGTGGTAGGATGTTTCAGGTACAGTCGGATGTGCCTACAAGCCTCACATTAGTGTGGACACCTCCTACAGGCTCAGGGTATCCTGGCAGAATCAGTGCTGAACAGTAACTGCTTTGACCATGGACATGAAAGTATTTTGGGGCTAGTTTACAGTTTTCATTATGACAACTGGATGTGAAGATTGGAGCTGGGCTGTCAAGGCTTTTGTGTTCATGGGATCTTGGTATAATCCATAAATTTTGAATGCATTTCCACATTGTTTTGCTAAGATCAAGGGTAAATTGTAAATTGACTGCAGCTCCCTCCTTATCTGAACTCTCACTTACTGACCTGGTGAAGGAGCTATTCTCTCTGGGCCCAGGTGACTTAGTCCTCGATAACACAATTTTAACATTCACGTCACATAAGTTCTGGGTGATGACCATCTCCAACAGGGCAAAACCCCAACCAACTGATCAGAGGCATTACCATTACAGAATCCAGCACCATCAACAGTCTGGGGATTATCATTGACCAGAAACTTAAATGGACCTCACCTATAAATACAGTGGCTGCAGGAGCAGGTCAAAAGATGGGAATTCTGTAGTGATCAACTCAACACTTGACTCAATGAAGCCTGTCCACATTTTCGACAATCACAAATCAGGAGTATGATGGAATACTGTTCCTTGCCAGGATGAGTGTAGCTCCAGGAATTCTCAAGTAGCCTAACATCACCCAGGACAGTATAACCAATTTGATATGCACTCCATTCACCATTTTAAACATTCTCTCCCGCCACACTTGGCATACAATGGCAGCCGTTTGCATGATCTAGAAGACGCACTAGAGCAACTCACCAAGTCTCCTTCAACAGCACCTTCCAAACCCATGACCTCTACCTCCTAGAAAGCCAAAAGCATCAGATGCATGGGAATGTCACCACCAATGGTAAGTACCCCTCCAAGCTACATGCCATCCTGAGCTAGAACTATATTGCCTGGAATTTCCTGGAATTCTCTTTCCAACATCACTACATATGACCTTACACCAGTGCATCAAGAAGATGACTCATCGTTGCCTTTATCTTATTTCCCACCAAATTCAGGTCGATTCCGGTCATGAAGGGTGGTCAAGGATATCCCCAAAAACTGTCTGATAGTATTCTCAGAGGATCCTGTTGTTCACTAAGCTGCAAGGCAGCTGGGGATAATCGACTGGAGTGTGTTATGTGTATAGGACATTGCTTTCGTGTCTCACCTTAAAATGTCAATTTGAGTTCTTTTAACCTTCCAAGGAGTAGATGATTGATTGATTGATTTATTGTTGTCACATATACTGAGATATAGTGAAAAGTGTTGTTTTGCAACAGATAGGTCGTGCCATACAAAGTGCATCAGAGTAGCAGAACAGGGTGCAGAGTACAATGTTACAGCCACAGAGAAGGAGCAGAGAAAGGGAGATCAGAATTGACATTTGAGAAGTCTGTTCAAAAGTCTGATAACAGTGGGGAAGAAGCTGTTCTCAAATCGATTTGTACGCATATTGAGCGGAAGAGAGTATAACTGGGGTGGGAGGGGGCTTTGATTATGTTGGTTGCTTTCTCGAGGCAAGTGTAGATGGAGTCAATGGATGGAAGGCTGGTTTGCGCGATGAACTGGGCTGTGTTCACAACTCTCTGTAGTTTCTTGCGGTATTGGGAAAAGCAGTTACCAGGAAATAACATGTTTAAATTCTCTCTCATATCCTTCCATGTTTGCAGGTATGCCTACCTTGGAGTGCCTGCAGGATTTGGAGTATTCTGTTTTGCTCTTTTTATTCCTTTTTACCTGCAAGTGAAGAAGCGTTTTGCATTAAAAGATGAAAAAGCATTTGACAATGAATGTACAGAACTGGACGCCGTGAATGAAGATAATGATCGCACTGGCTGTGACCTCTCGATGAATGCAGTAAATCCTGAATGAATTCACTCACCCGACACCTGGACTGTATGGAGAAAGAGAAGGCTTGAAAAGTTCCATATTAATTTTATGTGAGGGGTAATATTTAAATGTTAGCACCTCCCAGAAAGTGCATAAGATCAGTGGATGGCCATCCTGATCTTCTCACATTCCTGTTGCGCCAAGCTCTGCAATGGGCCTGTTTAACTGTAAAATTAAGTCAATGAGCTGTTCCAAATAGTTATCTGTGAGAAACGTTTCAGTTAGTCTGTAAAATTCTGACTTGGAAACAGTGTCTGTAAAGCTGTATTTGCTGCTACTGACAATTAGTGGACTATCTCCTCAGCTGGTACAGTGAATGGACAAACCCTCTGATTGGCTGGCATACTGGATTAACGCACCCTGTGATTAGCTGTCAGACTGAATCAACACACTACATGATTGGCTGTCAGACTGGATCAACATACCCTCAGATTAACTAGCACACTGGGTTAATGTTTAATTTATAGAGCTGGTAAACGCACTTTGGCTAACTTAGTAAGTAAAGACATCCTCTATCTGATTATCTCTTTCCCTCAAAGTGCCCAGATTGAATGGTAACAAAGGTTGAATTTGTGCTGTGTGATGGACATTTTTTGTGTGATTTATTTCTAACTATATTTTAACATTTAAATCAAATTAATTAATAATTTTTTTAAAATGTATCAGATGAAAGAGAAAGCAGAAAGAGAGAAGGTGGAATTCTAAAAATCTCAATCCTACATGGCAGTGACTAATGTTAACAGGTTACCATCTTGATGTATGATCATTGTTCAGAAGGGACTGCAGTGGAAACACAGAGAAAGGAAGTGTAAAACTAACTAGATGCTGCTATATACACAGGGCTGGATTTTACAGGTGGCTCAATTCCACTCACACTGTGTAGAAAGGTCGGTCGTGGGCTGACTGATGGCAAAAAATGGCTGCCCCTCAGCGATAGTACACTGGTGCGGCCTACATGAGGTAATCATAGGATTTCCACCCCTCAGGTAATGGAATTCCTGTCCTCAAGAGATGCCAGACAATATGGCTGACCACCAGCTGTGCGGACCCATCAGTACCAGAGTTTGACTGATGCTTGGCACCACAATCAGCCCAGGGGAAATGATCCACGGCTGCAGAGGGCTTTTCAGGAGGCAACAGGGACCGTCTACAAGCATGGTTTCAGGAATGAGAAACTCCAGATCTGAGGATAGATTGAAGAACTTGGGACTGTAATCCTTGGAGAGAAGAAGTAAGAGAGGAGATTTGATGGAGGTTTTCAAAATTATGAGCAGGTTGGACAGAGTATATGGGGTATTGCTGTTCCCATTTATAAAAAACAAAAAGGAGGGAGAGGACATGGATTTAAATTGATGTGCAAAATGAAGTAAGAGTAATGTGAGAAAAAACTTATTTTACTCAGCATGTAGTTAGGCTATGGAATGCACGGCCTGGAAATCTGGTAGAGACAGGATCAATTGACGCATTGAAGAGGGCACTGATGATTATTTGGATATAAATAATGTGCAGGGATATGGAGAAAAGGCAAGAGATTGGCACTAATTAACAGAACCAGTGCAGTCATGATGGGCTGACTAGCCTCCTTCTGCACTGTAATAATTCTATGGTTCTATGATGTAGGGGACCTACGTGAGCAGTGTGGGGATTTGATTCTTCAGGACAGGGAGGAAGTCATTTGGGAGGGTTTCCTCCAATGGGCATATAGCAGTCCCACCCCCACCTTTCCTCCCCAACCAAAGGAGCTACACCTACTTCTCACTTGTCTTTTCACCTGAGGGACAGGAGGTGTGAAGTTGTGGACTGGTTTCCTTCATTCCAATCTCCTTGACCACACACAGTATTGTGGCAGAGCCATAAACAGACCCTTAAACATCTACTAGTTGTCACTAAAGGCATCACGGCAGCTAAGTTAACTAATGTCTTACCTGCTCACTATATTATGGAAAACTGGGGATGTCAGGAAAGGGCTGGGCAAGACCTCCAGCTCCAGCCAGCCTCCAAACCCATCCCTGGAGTTGGGCTATAAAACTCCCATCTTAGTGCAGGCTGCTTGAGTGGAATAGATACAAAGCAGGATTCAATCAATCAGCACATCAGCAGCTGAATAAATTATTAACTAAAGCCAATGAGGCATGAGTAGAAGAGTTAGCATCACTAGAATCTGAATCCTAAAATTATGATAGTTCAAGAGACAAAGGGCAGCCATGGATACAGAATCCAGAAAGTCACAGAAGCTTCTTAGGATCGGCAGAAAGTTATTTCCGAGAGCAGGTCCTTGAGAGGGCACACAGAACCAAAATGAGCATGTCTGAATTAACCTCAAACAGCAGAAAGAATACTGGGAGATTGTAGGAACTGCCGATGCTGGAGTCTGAGATAACAAGGTGTGGAGCTGGATGAACACAGCAGGCCAGGCAGCATCAGAGGAGCAGGAAGGCTGACGTTTCGGGTCTGGACCCTTCTTCAGAAATGAAAGAATACTGGCTTTTTAAGGCACTGCATGATAGAAATTGTTACACCCTATTGATGACAGTGAGATGAAATTCAGACCTGGAGGCAGCAGGAGGCCAACTCCAACAGGGCCCTCACCATTGACTGAATTGTATTGGTGACTGCCTGACCTGTAAGTGTTAGAATTCACTCCAACACCTCTTCAGCTCTCTCCCTTTCCGTTTTTTAAAACTTTCCTTAAAGCCCACTTCTTACCTGTCCTAGTAACTCCTTATGCGGCACAGTGTCAATTTGCAAACACTTGTGAAGCATCTTGGGATGCTTTGCTAAGTAATAGTTACGGCCCTTTTGTAGTGCAGTGGTAGTATCTCTACTCCTTGACTGAGAGGCTCGGTTCAAATTCAGAAGTGCGAAATAACATCACTGAGCAAGTAGATTAGAAAAATAGGTTAGATTTTACAAAACTTTGTTACCAGGGAAATGCAAATTGGTGTACAAGTTCAAAGAAAATGATAGGAAGCAATTTTGTTTAATGCGCTTTTTTTTCCCTTCAACTGCTTGTCTTGGAGATTAATTTTAATTGCTGAGCACTTGTAGGGAAGGATTTGCTTTAAAAAGGGTTTAGCAAAGCAAGGAGAGGGGCGGCTCAGTGGCTTGGCTCAGTGGCTCAGTGGCTAGCACTGCTGCCTCACAGTGCCAAGTACCCAGGTTCAATTCCACCCTCAGGCAACTGTCTGTGTGAAGCTTGCACATTCTTCCCATGTCTGCATGGGTTTCCTCCAGGTGCTCTGGTTTTCTCCCACAGTCCAAAGATGTGTAGGTTAGATGGATTGGCCATGCTAAATTGCCCATAGAGTTCAGGGATGTGTAGATTAGGTGGGTCACAGGGGGATGGGTCTGGGTGGGATGTCTGAGGGTCAGTGTGGACTTGTTGGGCCAAATGGCTTGTTTCCACACTGTAGGGATTTATGATCAAAGGAGGAATGTTAACATTCATGGGAACCAGGTTTTGCACTCATGACTAACATGAATGAAAAGATTGGTCTTTGCCATACAAATGTGAAGCATAAAACTAATCTGATGCTCAAATACAAAGGTGGCCCTTGGTGGTTCGGAATTTCTTTATGTGTGTGTCACACAGTGTAAGGCCTGCTTGTGTGCAAACTGTTTAGTTTAACAAACTTGTATGGATTTAGTTTAGACTCTTATTTGCAATGCTGTAGTTCCAACTCCTGCACCTGATGGGTATGGCTCATGCCATACACTGCCTGTCTGAAATGAATATGACTGCCACATTCAGAAAACTCATGCAGATATCTCCTATCAGAAGTGAGCATGTTCCTGTTATTCCAGTGGAGGGTACTTTGCTGAGCTTGGGAAAGTCACATGGTGAGATGTACCTGGCCTAGAATTGCTTGATGAAATACCTGAAATGGAAAGAATACTGTTGTCTGTCAATTGGAACATTAAACCTTCCTTTGTAGAATATGAAAATTGAGTTTTCTGGTAAAACAGACAGATGCAATGATAATCACTGTTTTGGATCAGTTAAAATTTCACATATTTTGAAAATAATGGACTACTCAATACAGGTTTGAATTTATGGACTGAAAAGACCAAAAGAATTATCAATGGAAAGTGAATGACTTACAAATTCACAGTTGTTATGATCTCTGAGGGAAAGACTGTAGATCAAAATCACGAAATTGACTTAAATGACCCTCAAATGAATAAAGTACTAACAAGACTCCATTTTTGTAGCCATATCTTTAATGCAAATTGGAACTAACTCAAACTTCCAAGGATAAAGGTTAATTTTATTTTAATTAGAGTCGTAGAGTTGTTCAGCATGGAAACAGACCCTTCAGTCCATCCCGTCCATGCCAACCAGATATCCTAAGCTGATCTAGTTCCATTTGCCAGCATGTCCCTCTAAACCCTTCTAATTAATATACCCATCTAGATGCCTTTTAAATGTTGTAATTGTACCAGCCTCCACTACTTCCTGTGGCAGCTCATTCTGTACACGCACCACCTCTGCATGAAACTGTTGCCCCTTTAGGTCCCTTTTATATTTTTCTCCTCTCACCTTAAACCTATGCCCTCTAGTTTTGGACTCCCCTCCCCTGGAAGAAAGACCTTGGCTGTTCATCCTATCCATGACCCTCATGCTTTTATAAACATCTATAAGGTCATGCCTCAACCTACAACGCTCCAGGGAAAATAGCCCCAGCCTATTCAGCCTCTCCCTATAGCTCAAGCCCTCCAATCCTGTCAACATCCTGCTTCAAGCTTCACAACATCTTTCCTATAGCAGGGAGACCAGAATTGAATGTAGTATTTCGGAAGTGGCCTAACCAATGTTCTGTACAGCTGCAACATGACATCCTAACTCCTATACTCAGTGCACTGATCTATAAAGGCGAGCATACTAAATGTCTTTTTCGCTACCCTATCTACGTGTGACTGCACTTTCAAGGATCAATGAACCTGCACTCCAAGGTCTCTTTGTTCAGCAACTCTCCCCAGGACCTTACCATTAAGTGAATAAATCCTGCCCTGATTTGCCTTTCCAAAATGCAATACCTCACATTTATCTAAATTAAACTCCATCTGTCTCACTTCAGCCCATTTATCCATCTGATCAAGGTCTCATTGTACTCTGAAGCAACCTTCTTTGCTGTCCACTACACCTCCAATTTTGGTGTCATCTGCAAACTTACTAACCATTCTTCCTATATTCACATCCCAATCAGTTATATAAATGACAAAAAGCAGTGGACCCAGCACCGATCCTAACTCTCCCTGGATTCCATGTGATCTAACCTTGCTAACCAGTCTATCCATGTGGAACCTTGTCAAATGCCTTTCTGAAGTCCATACAGACAACATCCACCTCTCTGCCTTCATCAATCTTCTTTGTCACTTCTTCAAAAAACTCAATCAAGTTAGTGAGACATGATTTCTTATGCATAAAGCCATGTTGACTGTCCCTAATCAGTCCTCTCCTTTCCAGATACACGTAGATCCTGTCCCTCAAGATCCTCTCCAACAACATGCCCACCACTGATCTCAGGCTCTTCCGGTCTATAGCTCCC